CTTCAAAGTCCATTCAAAAACCATCAAGAGAAAGGTGAATAAGTTTTAAGAAGAGGGAACAGTACAGAGGAAAACTGGATCAGGAGGTCACAGAAAGAAGAGGGATCGTCATTTCAACTTAAATAGTTAAATAGATCATTTAGAAAAGATCCAACTCAATCCATAAGACGTTTGGCACCTGAGAGAGAAGTTTCAGCTATGACAGTCCAAAGAGCAGTGAAAAAAGACTTGAAAATGAAATCGTATGTCAAACCTGTGAGGCACCTTGTTACTCCAGGAGAGAAAGTTAAAAGGTTAGAGAGAGCGAAGATCATCTTGAATAAGTTGGAAAATGATCCTTGAATAATATATATATATATATATATATATATATATATATATGAACTTTATTTCAATTCTTCATGAGCTTTTGATCCTGAGCTATGATTAATTAATGATGAACATGTCATTGTCGTTTATGATCGATTTCATCACGATTCTTCTGTTAAACTTAGAGAGTAATTATACATTCTTATTGCTCAAAGCAGATTCCAATAGTGTTATAAAAACCTTGGAGAATTCCAGTAAGATATCTTTAATCATTTCCAAGATACAACAGTTCAGAGCTTAATCTAACAATTGAACAATTTTGCTGTTACACGATATCACATTATCTTCTGTAATTCCGCTGCTTTTATTGTTCTCCCTACTTAATAGCGTCTTTTTTAACCCATATTCACCCCCTCCCCTCAGTAACCCCTTGCTTGAAGTGAAATGATTAAAGTAGTCTGGTAATTTCCTGTTGTATTGGTGCTTCACTAACTGAACCTAGGACTGAACTCATGACCACTAGATGGCAGTAACCCGTGTATGACCAACTTCTATATATAGTACGACACAGTTTCGAAGGTCGTTCGTAGTGTTTTCTTTTAATATAAAAGGCTCCATAAACACACTGCTAATGCCCTTCGACGGCACAGTGGATATATGAATTGGTTATACATGATGACAGGTCGATTTTGGTAGTGTATTATTGCACTCAGTTTAAAAGTTGGTGTTTGCCATGACAAATGACACAAGATAGTTTATATTCAAATTCTTAACGTTTTTTTTAAGAAATAAGTTTGAAGATTAAGTTTAGGTTCAAAATCGTAGCGTTGCAATTTAATTATGGTGATCAGTAAAAACCTTATTACACAGCCTTATAAAATTTATAATTTACTGAAATTTTATAAATTTCATCTGAACAAGATGCATGGCACAAGTACATTATTATTAAATCATTGTACCATCAAATATTTACTTTTTTTACGTCAAAGGCAAATTATACTAAATAATTTAGCTATATTATGATATAATATGTTATACAGTGCAATAGTTTTAGTGTGATTTGCAAGAAACAATTCAAATTTAAAACATTTTGTCTTATAATTTATGTCTAGAAGTACTATGCTGTTATATACACTTTTATGTATTTTTTTTTGTTTTTATTAATTATGATCTACAAATCTTATTCATTGAGTAGGCTTTTTTAAAATCTTTTACAATTTTTTTACACAGTTTTTACTTATCCAATACAGTAAAAAATGCATATTTTGCTTGTGTTGATACGTAATTAAAATTCTGCTTTAAAAATATTTTCAATTCAATTTATCTAATACAAAAAAACATCAACTTTATTTGGATTTATTCTTGAAATAGTAAAATTTTGAAGTCAATTTGTAAGCAAAAACCTGAAGAAATTAGGTATTTCTGTAGATTTTTTTAGACAATCTTTGAAACTCAAAAAATCCTAAACGTTATGAATTTTGGTGTCAGTAATTATCACATAAAACCTCAGCTTTCTCATCGAAGGTAATGTTGATTTTCTAAAAATGTCAAAAACCAGTCTACCCTATTACACATGTGTCACTGTCTTCTAATGGTCGCGAGTTCAATCCTTAGATCAGGTAGTGAAATACAATTCAGCACGAACGAACAATGACTGATATCACAGGGAGAAAATATCACAATAATCATAAGATATCTTATATCAGTCATATATTTTTTAACCAGATTTGAAGAGTGACGACAAGTACTTTCCTGCATGTCCCCACTTCTCAAACTTATTTTCCTCGTATTCTTTTATAATCTTTTCTCATCTTTAACCAGTATTACATTCCTACGTCTTTAATCCGGTATTCAGTGATTCGGCAATTCCCATAATCCGGCACGTTTTTAATCGGCCTCCATTAATTAGTTAAACGACTATAAAGGCAGCGCCACACGTTTTCTAGAGCAGTCGACCACAGAAGAGCGTTTGAGTCTTACTCATTTCTTATATATATATATATATATATATATATATACACACACACACACATATATATATATATATATATATACACACACACACACACACATATATATATATATATATCTATTCAGGATGTTGTTGCTATGCCTCTTAATTCCTTGAGGAACACAGGGCCTCAAAAACACCTCTGCGTCGGACATGGTTCCGGGTGATCCTCTTCAGCTTGGCTCATGTTGTGCCGGCTGCCTTCACCTCTGCGTCATTACTTCTGCGCCAAGTCTGTTTTGGTCGACCCACATTTTCGCTTTCAGTCAAGGACCTGCTTGGTGACACTAGAAGCAGGCTTGCAGAGTTTGTGGCCGATCGATCCCCATTTCTGTTTCTTGATGTCAATCTCGATTGGGGCTTTTTTAGCCTTTGTATTGCATGAAACAATAAAAATCCAGAGAAGTATTAATGGTTGTTTTCTTTCCTGTTTTAAGCATTATTATAACTTTGCCTTGCACTACAAAATTGCTGGTCGTATCCATCCGCTTTTACGGTCATGAGACTTAGGCCCTGATAGTTGAGGCAGAAAAAAGGAGCCAGGCATTCGAAAACAGATGCATGAGAAAGCAATTCCGCATCTCCTGCTGGAAGCGCAAAAGCACTATGTACAGAGCAAGGTCAAAAGACTCGTGGGCCGATAGGAATCTCTCCTCGCCACTATTAAAGCGTCGGAAGATGTTATGGTTTAGCGACGTCCCACGGCATGACAGCCTCTGCACGGCCATCATGCATTGTTGAGGGCGGACACAAACTGATCAGGCAGTATCAAAGGGTGAACAGACATGACAATCACGGGACTCTTGAGAGCCACCGGCCGCAGATCATCCTGGAGGAGGTTGTCTGTTTCTTCTACCCTGAGGTTCCCGCGACGATTGAAGCAGACAAGGGAACGATGGTGATAACGATGCATACCTTTGATAACACAACAAAATTTATGTGAAATGAGCTGTTAAGACTATGTTTCTTTAGTGGTTATTTCTGTCGTTCGGAATTTTGCGTGGTTTTCAGTTGCTTAGAACAAAGTGGGCCGGATTAAAGAGGTTGGACTGAATTGCGAAGTTTTCTTCCGGACATAGATGGAAAATTTAAACAAGATTAACTTACCTTCATTTTCAGCCATTTCTCATTGTATAGGCTCGTTTGATCTCTCATTATATAAACCCAAAAGATTTCTCACTGTATTAGTTCATTCTATTTATCATTCTATAAACTCATTCACTTTCTCATTTTAGATGCTCATTATCTTATTTTTTATATAAACTAATTCTCTTTTTCATTGTATGAACTTTCGTATTGTATAAACTCATTCAATCTCATATTGTATAATTTCGTTCTCTTTCTCCCTGTATAAGCTTTTCGATCTCATATTGTAGAAGCTCATTCTCTTTGTCATTATATAATCTCATTCTCTTTCTCAGTGAGTAAACTCTTTTTCTTTCTACGTTGGTTTGATAATATTTATTTAGCAGCTGTGATCTTAGTAAACAAATGCATGCAGATGAAATTACCGTTGTTTTGCCAACTCCTGATATTTGTGTTAAAAACAAGAAGACATATAAAGGAAAATGCTTTGTAGATCCTCAAGAGACGAAAAACAAGACGTATTTCATTATATAACAATTCTTTATTCATAAATTGGTGAAGTTTTATCGTCCACACGGAGTGTGAAGAAGATTACATCCCACCTGTAAATAGACGATAGACATTATTACTCTGAAGGAATGATAGATTTGATCAAATTATGACCAGGTTTCTTTTGGCCTATTTTAGCTTTCTATTTCTCGGTAAAAGAGTTTTAGAAACAGGGCTGAAATATTTTTCTCTTTTTTAATGGTCGAATTGTCTTAGAGACTTTTTTTTTTATAAACTGTTTTCATTAATTAAATAAATTAAGATAAATGAAATAATAGAGAAATAAATGATTTGATTGATTCATTGATTTGTTTTTACGGCTTATCAACCCTTTTGCATTTTATTTATAGCCAGAAAATATCTTTAGATGGTAAGAATGTTTTTTGAGATAATAATGGTTTAGGGATACAAATCTTATTAGTTAACTCATAGCTTGTGGGTGGGGAGAAGTGTTGGATTCATATCTAATCAGAATTTGATAAGGAAACAAGAAATTATAATGAGGATATAAAGTGAGGGATCAATTCTATATTACAGTCAATATATAAACTGATCTCTCATTTTGTGGCCACGGTAGTTTCTATATATACATTTATATTCCAGAAAAGGTAAGTAAATCTAAAAGACATACCGCTAATCAGTATTTCATTGATTGATTGATTCGTTTTCTACGGCTTATCAACCCTTTGGAGTTTATTTAAAGCCAGAAAATATTTTTAGACTGTCTGATTCTTTTTTTGTGGGGAATAATTTAGTGATAGAGGTATTATTAATTAACCTATAGCTGGGGTCGATCCAGACCCTTCCCAGGAGTCTTTTCGCGTGTGAATATATCGAACCAAACTAGAATTGAAACTCGGCTCTCAGATCTCCAATCCCGAGCCGTTATTTTTTATTCCACACGCACATCCAAGCTTATATTAGCTGGTATTCCCAATCTAGGTACTGACCAGGCTCGACGTTGCTTAACTTCGGTGATGGAACAAGAACCGATGTTTCAACGTGATATGATCGTAAGCCCATTGTACCTTGTGCACATACAACTTTACAGCACCTGGTATTCCCAAGCAGTCACCAATCTAGTTACTGACCAGAGTGACGTTGCTTAACTTCGGTGATCGTATGAGAATCGGTGTTCCAACGTGATATGGCCGTAAGCCCATTGCACTACCAGCACATACAAGCTTACAGCACCTAGTAAACCAAAGTAGTCACGTCACGAAAAAACTACGTCCGCGTGCTGGGTAAGACGATAAACTACGTCCGCGTCCTGGATAAGACCATAAACTACGTTCAACAGCAAGGCCTCTAATCAGGAGGTTTTGAGGATTGTTTTAATTTCTGGTGTTCCCAAATCCACCCTTACCCGCGGTAGAAGCATCTGTTGGGGTCCCAACTATGGGCAAATAGTTAACCCCCAAACTGGGGTCAAAACACTATGAAAGTGTAAGAATAGGTTTTACTACCAGCAATACATTTTTGTAAAAAAAAAATATTACCAGCAATAAAAATCTTGTCGGCGTTAAATAACTCATTGAAGTTGATATGCCGTAAAACAAACCAAACCAAACCTAAGTGGTCACCCATTCAGCTATTGACCAGGCTCGACGTTGGTTAACTTCAGTCATCGTAAGAATTGGTGTTGCAAAATCATATGGCCGTAAACCATAAAAGCGAAATAATTCCCCCCTTTTTTTTTCTGAGCGACTATTACTAAAACCATTTGAAATAAATAACATGCGAATAGTTTAATGTTAATGATATTCTATATCGACCAAATATGTGATATGTTGTCTGAATTGTTGTAAAATCAACTCGATAAGATCTCTTCTGTTTGGATATAAGGAAATTAAATACGGTTGATAATGTATTTATACATTAAATATATATGGGTTAAGAAGTTACAACATTAACATATCACAGGTCGGTTTGTCAAGGGAAATGTTTTTTTAATCGATAAAGGAAAGGTGAGATAATAATAAAAAAAAATCAGGTTTTTATAACTGTCAAGCGAGAAAGTGTGAAAATTATATTTTTCAATAATGTATTTTAATTAAAATAAACATAGAAGAAAAATATATATTATAAAAAAAGATTACTTAACTTTTAAAATATCAATATTTTCCCGACTTCGAAGTTTCTTGGTAAAATCTCCGTTCTTGCGGGGGAGGGGGGGTTCTCTTTTTAATAGATATATAGTTTTAAAGTAAGGTATATTTATGGGTTAAAGTGATGGATATCAAGGAGAGAGCATATATAAATTTAAAAATGTACATTGAAGTCAACACCCAAAGGCGACAATCTGTTTCTTGCTTAAACACAGTTGTTATGACCTGACACTTGCGTTTAGTATAAAACAGACTGTCACCTCTGTCACACACACACACACACACACACACACACACACACACACACACACACACACACACACACACACACATATATATATATATATATACAATTTTATTTATTTTTTTAGGATATTAAACCGGAAAACATGTAAAATTGCTACACAATTGCAATCGTGTTTTCAATGTCTATCAATGCGTCTCATCAAGAAAGTGTAAATTACCCTAAAATTAGAGTAAATGGCAATCGCCTGATGAGATACATTGATACGCATTGAAACACAACTGCAGTTGTGTAGCGATTTTGACAAGTTTTCGATGTAATATCCTAATATATATATATATATATATATATATATATATATATATATATATTATATTTTGAACAATAAAAAATATTAAAAAATTAAAATCTTTAGACAGACTGGGTTGTAGATTAATATACAATTCATCATGAAAAAGACGATGGACATAAAAGCAATACCAATCTTTTTCATGTTGAATTGTATATGGTCCATGTTAATTATGTTTTATGAATATGTCCTGAAGATGGTCTATTAGACCGAAACGTCCGACTTTAACATTAAACATTAAAATAGCATAATCGCATATTAGGATTTTTGTTTGTTTTTTCAGTATATTTTTCTTCATATATATATATATATATATATATATATATATATATATATATATATATATATAAAACAAACAAGGACGTGTACTCAGAGAAATAAAACATTGATTTGTATAAAATAAACGTCATTTTTGTCCAATGCTATCTACAGAGTATTGTACAATAAAACAAGAATTTAAAGAATTCTTCACTGTCGAAAACCACCTTGCGATTTCTTGGAGATTATTAATGTGTCTTTATTGTGTTTGTAAATCGCCAACGAATACCATTTTGAAAAAGCGTTGGTCGAAAAGATCCTAAAGGTATAAAAAAATTATGTTTATTTTGTTTAAATCTCTCTCTCTCTCTCCCTCTTACTCTCTCTCTCTCTCTCTCTCTCTCTCTATATATATATATATATATATATATATATATATATATATAAACGGACTGTTCACTCAAATAGGAATAAACACTAAAAATAATGTTTAAGTAATAGAACTATAAATGACATTAAAGAAAGATTGTTCACGTGTGCTTTTTGTGCAGATATATCAGACGAAAATAATATTGCTAGTAAGACTAATACTATTTATTAGTATAATTTATTTATTAGTATATTTATAGCCTAAATGAGAGCACGAGAAAAATGTTAATGTCTCTCTCATGTTTACACTTAGTCAAAACGTCGACTAGTATACAATAAGTATTATTGGTCATATTAGCAATATGATTAATGTTTTTTTATCTCTTGAATTACTTTGACCGTCCTCGATTCCATGTGCAATGTCTTTCTTTACTATCAATTATACACCCTCCTCCTACACATATATATTGGGTGTGTTTCTATGTGTGTGTGTGGAGAGAGAGAGAGAGAGAGAGAGAGAGAGAGAGAGAGAGAGAGAGAGAGAGGGTGAAAGAGGGAAAAAGAAATAGAAAAGACAGAAAAACAAGAAATAAAAAGAAACACTAATTTAAGTGCTTTACCTAACTAGTAAATACTTAGTTTTTAAAATAGATACAATTATTTAAGTGATAATTGCATATATATATTTCAATAAGTTTTTCGTGGTACAGAATTTAATAATAGATAGAAAAAGATAATATTATAAGGCATTTTAAAAGCAAAAGCTAAAATAAAAACAACCGGTTTCGTCCCAGGACTTATCAAGTTTATTTATTCTGGGAATTTAAAAAAGTGTGTAAATTAATTTTTAATTAACGAAAGTAATCGAATGGGGGAAAAAAATTATGAATTTCAAGAAACTAGAGTCCAATAATATTCAGACGCAGCAAGCATTCCCTCTGTTTACAAAAGGGAAGGCTCACGGGATCTGATATACAAGCACTCTAGAGCCTTGAGGTGAAATGTGGAGTGGGACCTAGATAAAATCATAAATCGGTCACCACTAAAATTTTCCAATAGCAGAACCAGAACTATTAGTCAGTTGGCTATTCCTGGAGGACGGATTCAAAATCCTGGGGGGGTAAATGCTGTTTTATTCTCCAATCCAAACACTGGGACGTCCTCTCTATGTAGTCGTTTTCACAACTACACTTGTATTGGTTTTCCCCATTTGATTATATTCGTTAATTAAAAATCAATTCACACGCTTTTTTAAATTCCCAGAATAAATAAACTTGATAAGTCCTGGGACGAAACCGGTTGTTTTTATTTTAGCTTTTGCTTTTAAAAATGCTTTATAAATATTGTCTTTTCCTATATATATATATATATATATATTATATATTATATTTCATTAAATAATATAGACAAGTTTTGTCTATTTATTTTAAGTAAGTTCCTTTCATATTGTCTGATAAGCTTAATCACATTATCATTGAAAGACGAAAAGAAATCGCCATATTAATACATGTTTAAATCCAATCTAAGCTTTTTGGCTTACATAACATAAGCCATTATCAATATATCAAATGACAATTTATATATATATATATATAAATATATATATAAAGCGTCATCCGGTTCTTCCACCAACCGAGTATAGTTACTAATGTAATATAATATTATATATATATATATATATATATATATATATATATATATATATAAATAAAAGTATAAAATTTAATATATATAAGACAAAAGTATAAAATTTAAATTACAAGACAAAAACACAAAATAAAAAAACACAACAGCAGAGGGGAAGCAACCGGTTTCGCTCCCGGTCTTCAGGCTTCAACGGGAGATTCAAAATTAATACAGAAAAAAAGAAAAAAAAAAGAGTGTCTGTTGTATGATTTCAGCCGAATCGACGCAGAATATTCATTGCACTCAAATTACACACCGACACATCAACCGGCTGACTAGATTTTAATCTCGGCCACCGAATACAGATGCACATAGCTTCACATCTGCATTAGATATTGCAAACTTGGAAGCGAGGATGTTGGACAGATAGACAGCTGTAGAGTTGGGCAGTCTCTCACACACAGCAGGCAAAGAGGATAAGGACGATGTTTGGTTGACGAGTTTACAAGATGCGCATATCAAAAGTTGGTCGAGATTTACTGAAAGAATTTTTGTGGTGAATGAAGTGCAAAGTAGTGAAGACTCAATATTCTTGTATTATTTTGAACTATTGTTCTCATGTTGGTTGATAGATGTTATAGAAACAACATTTCGACCAAATACCCTCTGGTCATCATCAGATATCCATTGATTGGCTGATATGGGATATCTGTTGATTATTGTGATGTCAGTTATTGCTCGTACCTGTTGAATTGTTGCTTCACTACCTATTTTATTTAATAATTTTCGCACAATACAAAGACTTAGAGCCACTCAAGGTAGAGGGTTACTGTATGGTGTTGTATTAGCGTAAGAAAAGATAAGAAACGGCGTTCTTGGGGCTATGCAGAAGAAATAACAGCTAATTCTAGACTTTCAGAGGTCAAAATTTAATTAGTGAATAACATTTCAGATTTTAGGGTTTGGATTTATTTTGTATTAAGGCATATCAACCTCAATGTGTCATTTAATGCCGACAATAATTTTAGGATAGATTCGTATGAATAGAATATATATTCTTTGTAAGAAACCAGTTTGTAGATCAAGTTTCTTTGACGTAAAGTGGGTTTTTGTCGAGAGTCAAATGTATTGCTGGTAATATTTTTCTTCAAAAATGTATTGCTGGTAAATTCTTTTTCAAAATGTATTACTGGTATTTTTACTATAAAAATCTATTTTTATATTTTCCCATAGCTGTGACCCTAACAGGTGCTACCACCCTGGGTCAGGGTGGACCTGGGAACAATAGCAATTAAGAGGTGGTTCCACGCTCCTCAAAACCTCCCGATCTTGCTGCTAGATGTAGTTTATCGTCATACCCAGGACAAACTGCCAATTTGACCTTATCGAACCAATCAGATTTACTATTAAGACAGGAGTAAATAGTTGTGTCATCAACATAGATGCCAATTAGAGAACTTGTTCCATCACATTGACAATGAAATGCTAAATTATGAAGATTCAAGTATTGTTTCATCCACTTCATTATACAATCAAAGACAGGCCACTCGTAAGACAATTTATGAGCGGTTCGCTAATTTTTATTGTGGAGAATTTGAGAGAGTGCATCAATACCAAAGTAGATAAAAATTTGCGTTGAATCTGGAAGAGTTTCGTAGCCTTCGAAGCCAGCCGACAGTAATCTTATCGAAAATCAACGCAGCAGTGTTGTTCATTATTTACATTATTCAGACTTCATCTTTGTCGCCATATTTATCACAATGTTTCGGCCGTTGTACGCTCCGACTTTCTTCAAGTGGTTGAAGTGTCGAACTGAACCCTTTATTTCGCTCACTTGGGTAGACTGTTCTAATTCCACGTGCCATGTTTAATGGATGTCAATTATCAGTTATCTCCTGTTAATTCCCCTCTCCAAGTTCTCCACTGCCTTAACCGGGTATTGAACTCACATTCTTTGGTTCCTGTCACTGTTAGGGATACATGGCACAGTGGATAAAAGCGTTGGTTAGATCCAGTGACAGGACCCAAAGAATTGTTTTACTCATATTAAGGAGTGAATAAGATTGGCAACTGCTAGCCGAAATATTTCCATAAAAAAATAAGTCATTCGTTGAAATTACAAGTTTTTTTTTTTTTTAATTTAGGTATCTTTCTTTTTCTTAGTTTTTTTGTGGGCGGGTAACTACATTGAACATAGAACAGCTATTCAATAAAATTATTATTAACACTTTCCATCAAACTGTAGGGAAGCCATAGATTCCTTTGTGACAATTCTTTGGGTCCTGTCACTGGATCTAACGAACGCCTTTATCCACTGTGCCATTTATCCCTAACAGTGACAGGACCCAAAGAATGTGAGTTTAATACCCAGTAAAACAGTATAAAGCCGTTCGAAACGCTTAAGAATTTAAATTAAGGAAAACAAATCGAGTTGATGACGTTTACAACTTAATAGCAAGTCGAGGCATTAAATGTTTCTTTTTTTCCATGTATTTTTCTTTGGAATTGCTATTACGTTGTAAACGTCATCAACTCGGTTTGTTTTTCTTGAAAATGAATTAGAACTTAAAACATTTTTCTAATTAAAATTAAAAAAAAAACAATACCTGTAAAAATTCATCATTCATCGAAATTTTTTGTAAGACAATAAAACTTTATTTATAAAAGCAATTAAAAGCTTTTTTAATTAAATAATGTTTATAGTTTCATTGCATTTTTTATTTTACGATTCACAACTTATTTTCTGTAAATGGTGTTTCCGTTTGATAAAAACCAAATTGAGGATTTAAATTCTCCAATGAGTCCTGCTTTAACTCATACATATATAAAAAGGTTGAAATATTAATTTCTCGAAATTTCGTAAGTTTATGTAAGTAGTCGTAACAGATGTAAAAAAAAAAGATATTTTTACAAAAGAATTTTTAGATCAATAATTTATTTCATTTGTCCTGAAAATTTCACTAAGCTCCAACAATTGTTTCATTTTTGCAAGAATTTCCAAAATAACGTGTTTTAACGCCAAAAAGACACTCCAAATCCTTATACTAATCTTTGGCTCACCCACTGACGTAAGAAAAACGATTTTTAACCAAAATTTCGAACATGCTAGAAAGGATTAAACAATTTAATAAAATAAACAAAAATACTTTGGTCTTTCCTCTTAATAATAACATAAACATTTTGATGATAAAACTTTTGTTTTTATCAAATTTGGGGCATTTTTTCATCATGCTATGCTCTTTTTTAGAAAATCTTTAGAGATACCTAATTTAATGCTTGAAAAATAAGATGTTGAATGAAGAAAACTTTCCGCTGAGATCAGTATGCGCATGCGCATTTTGCACTGATATTCTCCTTCATATTAATCATATAATACTTGATTTGGGGGCACCCCGGCGTGGTGTAATGGTTAGTAAGCTGGTCTTGCTAGATCAATTTACGATTGAATAGTGAGTTCGATCCTCCATACTTTCGGCCTTGTGCCACATCTAAGCCGGGCTTAGAAAAATCGCTATAATACTTGGTTTGGCTACCTTGAGGAGGTGTACTGTTAGCAAGCTTATGTGGTTAAAACAATTACAGCTGAGTAGTGAGTTCAATCATCACTGAGTGCCCCTTTACTTTCGGCCTTGTGCCATATCCAAGCTACGCTTGGAAAATCGCTATAATGCTTTGTTTTTATGTTCTTCTTCAAAAAGTAAAAGTGAATATTTCTTTTATCATTTCTAAATATAAATCTTAATCAAATGAATATATTTTCTTAATTATCCCAATTGAGAACCATTGCACGAGATAATTTCGTGTTTATGTTTCATTTTCAGGAATAAATCAAATAAAATGAATATTAATAAAAATGATTGATATGATGGAGCTAGATTTTATGAGGATATGAAAAACTCGGCAATCAATTAGTTTCTACTATTGTCTTGGCTTGTCAAAAATAATTAAATATTTTTATTATTGTTCAGTCATTTAAAATTCGGCGTGTGGCTGAATGGTTAGCGGTTTCTGAACAGGACATCCGAGTTCAAATCACAACATATCCGATTAAGTCAAACAGCCTTTTTTTTAATATAATATTGACCAGGAGAAACGATTTCAGCGTGACGGACCGCTGAGAAGTGAATGAAAAGCACATTACGAGTTGACCCAAGCGTTGTAAGTGAAATTGGGGAGACGAAACTGTTCAGAAGCCGTCGTTGGTTGTGCTAATGGGCTGATAGAGGCACTTAAACTTTGGATAGGTTTCTCTATAGAGATGAGGATTCCAAGGAGCCTGGCCACTCGTGAGTATGTGCCAGTATGGAAAATAATCAACTTCAGCCACATTCTCACCATCGTGACGTGGCTTCCGTCTGTCTTTTCTACAAAGATTTTCATGGTAGTTAGTTGTTCAAATGAGCTCTCCTCCTTGGCATGTCGACCACATGAATTTAAGTGTATTACTAGATTGACAATTAAATGTCATCGTTTTACTGTTGATATAGCTAAATGCTGCCGTAATTTCTATTCTAATGGTTTATTTTCTCGCACTTATCTGTTGAAATGTTATGAGGTGTAGAAAATATACGGACAATGATCTTTAACAAAGATTCACCTAAATATGTCAATGGCGTCTTAGTCCAATCTCTTTGTGTACCTTACACAAATATCCTACAGGTTATTCTACATTTCAAAACAGCGAAATCCTCTTCCGGTATTGCTGTCAGCTATTTTAAGGCATTCTCCTTAATCTCGCCCACCATCTCCTCATTTTCAACTTTTTAACAGAAAAATAAAGCGATTAGAAAGTTAGTTAACAATGAATACAAGTCATGGTGTAAATAAATTGAATGCAACATTAAAATACCCAGACTTTATGGTCTAGCCAAAACGCAAAAATGGCGCATTCCATTGCGACACACCATATCAGAAGGGCTTCTCATGTGCACGCATTTATAATTACTCCTTAAAAAAACTGGTATAATACTCTATAATTACTCTATAATACCGTTATCTCGTAAAGCAATTTTATAAAATTTACCAGTTTCTAATTGTGAGCTACTGTTCGTTATATATTGCGAATGAACGATTAAATTGCTTTCGTTTCGTTTGTTTTGGTTTACGGCATATTGTGGGAGAATTGGTCGAAAGAACACACACACACACACACACACACAAAAAAAAAAAAAACTACATACAAGTCCAATGGGCAAAACAGTGGTACAGAGACCAATTCTTTTTCTTTTTATGTGCCGTGTCCCTTCAGGACGTGGGCGATCATGGCTCTCCGCTTTCCCCTATTCCTTGTAGCTCTCAGTAAGTTCTGTCCCTTTGCTATTTCTCCCAGGCCATGTTCTGTCATCCACTCGCTCAAATCCGCTGGGTATGTCATGTGTTGCTTTCCCTTGTCTCTCTTTCCCTCTATCCGCCCTGTCGAACTGCTGACCAACATACAGTATTTACTACTGTATTTAATTTGAATGGAGACACACCCATTGTTATCCGTAGGTATGCTACGACAACAAAGTAAAAAAATATAGCAAATTTTCATGAATTTATCCTATATCTGTAGTAAGACTGCTTATTGATTATATAAAGATGATCTTATTGGAAATATTATTATTTACAGTGTCTTTCTTTCTTTTTTTGTGCCATGTCCTTTCAGGACGTAGGCGATCATGGCTCTCCACCTCTCGCTATCTCTTGCAGCACTCAGAAAGCTCCTTCCCTCTGCTTCCTCCCCCAGACCACGTTCTGTCATAAACCTGCTCAAGCTCGTTAGGAATGTCACACTGCTTTCCCTGGTCTCGCTTTCCCTGTGAGTATCAGATTCTCCAAGCCCTCCTTTCTCATTACGTGTCCCAGTAGGCAAATCAATTCCACAATTGTTGACTATCACCGTTCCTCAATCTCAGGTAAGCAACTCCTCTCGCCACCCCCCTCTTGATTGAGCGTACCGTGCTTTTATGAACCTGACCAAGCCATCGCTCAGCCAACAAGCACCTAGAACCGTCCAATAAAAATGGCGACAAGCAACAGCACTTCCGTCCACATGAAGTGCTGCCCGATTCATCTTCAGTCCGAAGCTCGTCAATTCGACGTCTCCACACTCCATTGCAAAACATACACGGGTCTCTGGTCCTTTTGAGTCGCTGAGGTAAGTCTCCGTTACACATATCAACCTCAATCGGTTATTTAATGCCGACAAGATATTTATTGCTGGTAATATTTTTTTTCAAAAATGTATTGTTGGTATTAAAAACTTTTTTCACTTTCATAGTGTTTTGACCATAGTTTTCGGGTTAACTATTTGCCCATAGCTGGGACCCCTAACATGTATTACCACTTCGGGTTAGAGTGGATCTGGAAACAACAGCAATTAAGAGGTGGTCCCACACTCTTCAAAACTTCCTGATCAGAGGCCTTGAATCCAACCTGTATCTTACACGGAACCGTCATATAGCCTGACGTGCTATACCAGTTTAGCTACGAAGGAGCGTCTGGTTAGCAAGGTCGATTTTACTGCTTTTAAACTACAAATTTCCATGATTTCCCTGGATAAAGTGATATAGCATGCCAAGCTATTTGGCGGTTTCGTGTAGGCTACAGGTTCGATTCCAGTCGGAGGACGCATATATTCTATGAAATTTCTCGGACGTTCAGGCCGGTAAATGTTAATACTGTTTATTATAAACAGAGCATTTATTTAAATATTTGTGTCTATAAAAATAACGTATAATAATAAAATATGTTAAAATAATTGTCGAACTTAGTCCATTTCATAGTTTCTTATGCATAAATATACTCTCATAAATGGTGGCTATCTCTTCGTTTCCAGGCAAGACTACCTTCCAGATATAAATGGAAAGACATTCTCCTTTATATTCCGTTGCTTCAGAGGGCCTCTAGGTTGTCTTTGGCCGACTCACCAATTCACACTTACGGCTCTAATGACTTCCGGTATGTAACTTCTTCATTATGGCGACCGGATTTAAAATGACGCTTCATGCCACCTTTCGATCGACACACTTTAAGAGTGATCTGGAACAAAAGATCAACATTTTATGCCAAGAGTTCCAAGAATTAGGACTTCTCATGAAGCTTTCTAAAAGAGAAAATGTGATCTGGAATCAGAAACAGAATTTTATCTACCACCGTCAGATGCTGCAAAACCCAGATATTAATGTGAAAACTCATGGTCTTATATAGCCTCGTTAGATCTCGAATTACATGTGAATCTCATTCAGAAAATATCATGTCTATACAACCATTTTTTCTCGTAGATCAATGCTCTTGAGCCTGGTCAGTGCCTAGATGGATGATTGCTTGGGAATACCAGGTGTTGTAAGCGTGAGTGTACAGGTGGTATAACGGGCTTACGGTCATATCACGTTGAAACACCGATTCCCTTACGATCAGCGAAGTTAAGCAACGTCGAGCCTGGTCAGTACCTAGATGGGTGATCACTTGGGAATACCAGGTGTTGTAAGCTCGTATGTGGGGGTGGTATAATGAGCTTACGGCCATATCCCGTTGAAACACCAGTTTCCGTACGATCACCGAAGTTAAGCAAAGTAGAGACTGGTCAGTATTTAGATTGGTGACCGCTTGGGAATACCAGGTGCTGTAAGCATAAATGTGAGGGTGGTATAACGGGCTTACGGTCATATCACGTTGAAACACCGGTTCCCGTACGATCGGCGAAGTTAAGCAACGTCAAGCCTGGCCAGTATCTAGATGGGTGATCACTTGGGAATACAATGTGTTGTAAGCTTGTATGTGCGGGTGATATAATTGGGTTACGGTCATATCATGTTGAAACACCGGTTTCCGCACGATCAGCGAAGTTAAGCAACGTCGAGCCTGATCAGTACCTAGATGGGTGATCACTTGGGAATACCAGGCGCTGGATTTGAGGGTGGTGTAATAGATAATGGTTCGGAATTGTTAATCAGAGAGCCGAGTTCTATTTTCAGTTGGATTCGTTATAATAATTTATGCACAAATACCCTTGGGAAAGGTATGAAACCGCGCCTTCTCCCCCAGCTATGGGTTAATTAGTAAGACTTGTATCACTAAATCATTATTCTCTGCAAAAAATTCTTACAATCCGAAATGATTTTTCTGACTTTAAATAACCTGCAAAGGGTTGATAAACCGTAAAAAAGACGAATCCTTAAAATCAAATTAAAAACGGTTTCAAGCGAATGAATCTTTTAGTGCAGTCTTTCATCAGATCATATAGACTGGCGCTGCATAATCACAAACGAAGAACCTTACTAAATAATAAAACCCCGCATCACTTGAATATTTTGAACACGAGCCACAATAAAATAAAACTTGACGAGAAATTAATATGATCGAACTGTTTGGCTTTCTATATTGCCAAAAACTAAAAGATTGGAAGGAAAGCATAAATTTTAAAAGGTGCGATTACATTTAACGAATTTGAGGAGTTTACTTTCCTAGAAACCTCTCTTTGAAGAAAAACATTCAACCGACAGGAAAAATTAATTGTTCAGTTAATGAATGCCTAATAGTACACCCTTGGGCAAATTAATTGAAACAACCACTTTAGTTTCGTTTTTTTTCACCATACGGCCAGTTTTAGACCCACTGGAGTGACAGGGTGTAATCGATTTCTATTTTTTTTCTCAGATTAGATCATTTGCAGTGATATGCATTAATATGAATCTATTTTGGGGGTATATTATGAAATTTGTTTGGCCTTGAAAAATATTGCGTCATCCGTGATTGCCTCAGATTTTCATCACACCCAAACACTATTGTCTCAACTGTCGATTAGTTGTCCTACGGTCATTGTCCGCGATGGATGTTATTCCAAGGAAGCGTACGAAAATTGTAGGCTGCACGAACACAATGGCAAGCCTTACCAGTGACAAATCAAAGTACTATAGACTGGCACGGAAACTCTCTTGATTTAAATCCACTCTAGAATCTGTGATGAATCTGAAAAGAAAGACTTCGTGGAATACCACATAATTTGCACAAGAGTGTACATGTATGGAAATGGTTAATCTCATAATTATCTTGACATGGCGATTCGATATGTAGAGTGACACAGTCGGTGATTCAAGAGGTCGGCCCTTGATAGGGACAAACGTACATCATCTTCCTTATTCTCATCATTCATTCATTCATGCGAAAATGTGTCTTTGACCTGGCGGAACCCATTCCTCTCTAGGTCAAACCGCAGCCAATGTCATAAAACATGAAAGCCCGTCTTGATTCACGGACACGTGGTCGTTGAGTCAGTCGGGAAAAACCCCCGCCTTCGCCGTTGCTTTTAGTTTAGGAAGCCCTCCGCCCAACACCAGCTGCATCCATATCTATAAAACCCAGTCTACCTCATTGTGCTGCATGGCAACTGTCATTACCAGAATATTCATCCGTCCATTGTCAGTTTATATCAAGTCATTGTACGAATTCCTGCTGGGACTATGTGACCCTGGTCCAGGCTTGGATCATCGGCAACTAAAGTGGCCCCACCCTCCCCGAGGCTTTTCTGTTGAGGATGGTGTCTAGAGAATCAGCAGTATTAAAAAGAAGACCTGTCAAACATAAACTATTTTCAATCATTTCACCCCCCCCAAAAAAAAACAAGAAAGGCAATAAAACCACTAAGACACAAGGTGTTACTGAGTGTGAGAGAGAATATGACAAAAATATACGATTAAGGAGAGAGGACTATAAAAGAACAACACTTAGCAATATATTTATTCGACTGGCTTTTATAGGCTGCTAGTGAGAGCAATTTAGTTTCTTTTCTTTAAATAGACATTCGCCCATATTTCTAGCCCCCCCCCCAGAACGAGATGAGGGTGAAAATGTGGAATAATGTACTTGAGCCCCAGTATCCTTCAAGGATGTTCGAATTGGAAGTGGGTTAACCTCGAAATTCCTTGAAAGTTACTGAAAGACATCTGAAGAAGTCGCAAGATACAACAACGGAAACGTTGTGATAGTAATCACAAAGATGAGGATATTAGTTTGACTGTAAATAATGTAATTATGTCTGGTCAGTCTACAAGTGGTACTGATAACATGTAACCCAGTACTAGCTGCAGCATCGTCGGGTCATCAGTGACTAACCCACCACAGGCTTTTTTTGGGAAGGAGGGTGGTTAGACACTTCTAGACACCTAGCAGAAGTAAAAACAAGACCTATTAAAGAGCGGATGACCATTTTTCTAGGGTCAACGGACATCTAGCGGCACTAACAGGGCTCTATGGCTATGGGCAGTGCGGTGAAGACACGGCCTCACTTGATCGAGGTTTTTCTAAAATGAAAGGAACAACTAGGTTGGAAGGTTCCCCGGTCCAAGGCGAGCCTTCAAGCTAGAAGATATTGGCTGTGGTTTGACCTGAAGAGGGATGGACTTCATCAGGTCTTCTTGCCCAAGACTTACTACAAATGAATAAATACTTCAACGTCTCTCAACCCACATATGTGGAAATAACTAGTTTGGTGCTAAGCTTTACAGTGACCCTAAGAACACACCCAGATATGCGACTTATGATGATGATGAAATAATGTAAATAATCTTTAAATCATTTCATCCCAAGTAAGGCAATAAAACCACTAAGATACAAGGGGTTAGTGAATAAAAATATCAAGGAGATAAGACAAAAGAACAAGAAGACAGAAAATAACGATTGAAGTTTCATTTAAATTTTAGAAGATAAGAGTTGACAGGGAAGCAAGGAACAAGATGAGAGTTCCACAAGCGAGAAGTGCCACAGAAGAAACTGTTAGCATAGAACTTACGGTTACATCTAGCTATTTCAATTGTAAAATGATGAGACCTAACTGTCAATCTAGTACTGCGCTTCAATTCATAAAGTCTACGTACCACAGAGGAAATTTCATCAGGACAATTACCAAGAACTGGACTAACTTCAATTGTTTTTGGCCTTATCCTTTAAGGTAGACCTCCACAAGAGAGCGATATCTAAAGTTTAAAATGAATTTTTAAAAATGAAAATTTCTTCCTTGAAGCTTTAAATTTAGTTTTAATTTCAAGAGAATAGATTAAATTTAATATTCCCAGTAAGCAAAATACTTTGCTGTATTTGAAAAACTAATTTAAATTGAATAAAATTGTTGATTAGCGCCCGTTTTTGGTCATCTTTCATCGCAATGTGATTCTTCCTAAAATAAAATATACTTTGAAATTTTGGTTGAAGAATATTTGCTGATTTAGAGGGTAATTAATCTGATTTGAAACAAATATTATTTACTTTAAGTTTTATATATATATATATATATATATATATAGGGTGCGATGGATAAATTGTCGTCTGAATGCCGCAAAACTGGAAATAATACTGAAATCTCATTTGAATAGTTATATTTACCAAAATTATACAAGAGAGTAAATTTATTCAATAAAATCGCCATTGGCTTCAACCACGAGCTACAGACGACTTTGGAATCTCCTGCAACTCTTCTGAACGGTCTTCTTATTTAAGTGAATGCTGCTATAATCCTTGCTTCCAGTTCATCTTTGGTATTACAAGGAGTTTTGTTGGTCTCTCGCTCAACTGCACCAGAGTCCTGTTGCAAGACGTACCGTCTTCCAGCAGCCACCCTTTTGATCCAAGACAGCACTACGTCCTCCTCAAAGCAATTGATTTATGACTCTGTGTTGAGTCAGAGGCCCTGTGGAAAGATGAATGGAAGCATAACGTCGCCACTCCAAACACCATTAGACTCACCCAACTCTTTTCGAATCGTCTGTACTGTCATTAGATTGGCACCTTGCATCATGGTGTACTTTTTCTCACAGACAGTGCTTACCTTATCCTCCTATAATGTGCAGTCGACAAAATCAAAAACAAACAACGCGCATGCGCGAAATTAAAAAAATATAAAATAGCAACAATTTACCCATCGCATTTAACGATATTTCTTTCTCTCTCTCTCTCCCACTCTCTCTCTCTCTCTCTCTCTCTCTCTCTCTCTATATATATATATATATATATATATATATATATTTTTTAGGACTCCATTATTTAAATGATTTAGGACTCCATTATTTAAATAATTTAAACATCTATGCCCCAAAGAGAAACAGCACCATGTGCTTGAAATCTGCTGAGGAGGCAGATTTAGCCTTAGTCTGGGCCTTTTTGGCTCAGACTAGAAGAAAGCAATCTTTTTGTTTCATTGCTGTTCATGAACTCTCAAAATGACTGCCGATTTGGGCCACTGGATGGTAGTGATGTGACCACGTGACTTATCTTCTACGAAAGGGAGATAAGCGCTTTCTGCATTCTTTCAACATATTAAAGGATTAAACAAGAATTTATTTTTACTCAGACAGTGTCCACAGAGATCCTTCTACACCCCCCCCACAAGCCTAATCGTTGCAAACTACTAGGCCAAAAGCAAATTTCTTACAGTAATACAACACATAAAAAATTTCTCCTGAAGGGTGAGTTCCACTTCTTTCTTTATTTCTCATCTCGTTGAAAAAGGAAAAAAGGCGTGTCCTAAAATTCCGGCATTAACATCTTTCTGTTTGTGCCTCGATTTTCTTAAAAGTCCTTCAGATATATAATAAATATCATCAGTCTCATTGACAATATTTTTAGCATTTTGTTGTCTTTTTATTCCTCAAATTTAGTTAACGAGCCTATTAAATAGCAGTTAAATCTTCCTTGTATCTCGTATTTAATGAAAGTTGTTTAAAAGAAAAGATGCTGCCCAAATATAAATTAATAATATATATATATATATATATATATATATATATATATATATATATATATAAATTGAACTATGTTAGGGAGTGTTAGTTGTAAGAAATGTCTTTTATATTTTCATCGTGTCCAGTTTTGGCTGCTGACCAGAACGCCATTATTAATCTTAATGTGAGGATATTTAT